TCCTTTTTTTTTTTTTTTTTTTTTTTATGACAACATATTTTCACTGAGGCAGAATTTCCAAAGCCAGGGGAGTGAGCTGTTTTGGTCTATGCACATACAAAACTAACTGCTGGATTTGTTTTTCCTATTACCAGGAAATGTATTCAAAAGAATGGTAGCAATATCAATAGCTAATTACTCAACTCGGGGGGGTGGAATCAAACAGGATGGGCTTTCTAAGCTTGTAAGAAGAAGAACAAGGCATAAAAAGATACAGTAGAAAAGCGAGGCCTGGTTATATCAAGACGACTTCTTTTCAGGTCACGCTGAATACTGGTCAATATTGTCCCCTGGAAGCAGTCACTCCCTGTGGCGGTCCACTCAGTCCACCCCACGCTACTGCAGCTCAGGGCTGATTAGAGCTATTGTTTGGTAATTGCCTTTGCGCTTACAGAATATTCTACTGAATGTGGTGGGGAAGTTCCCATCCTAGAGGAAGGAGCTGAATTTTCATAACAATCCAAAGTTATGCAGAGCCAGGTTTTGGGGAGGAAAGCAACTCAAAGTAGATATTGCTGTTTAGTTCAAAAGTGAGGCCCTACAGATGAATGCCGTGACTGTGTGTGTCTTTGATGAACGAGCTATGAAGGTAAGTCCAGGTCAGCGTTTGTAAAATTATTTTAGAGGGGTTTGCCGTGGGGATTGGTGTTACAAAAGAGAAGGCACGGCTGTTGGCCACCCATCCATGGGATGTCCCGCAAAGAACCTGACCAAAAAAAGGCCTGGCCAACCAGAAGTTAAGCCAATCACTAATTCCTGGAGCCCTCAGAGCCCTGTGATGCGCACACACACACACACACACACACACACACACACACACACACACACACACACACAGGGAGCTGGTCGTGCAACACCTGTGATACCTATCCTACAGGTGTGGGCAAGAGAATCACTCAGGGCTTCATATGGAGTTGTTACTTATGTCTGTATTGGTCGATTTAATCCAGATTTTCTTTCTGAACAAAGGCTTCTAGAGACATTCTAAGTACTTAATGCCACAAATGAATTTTTAGCTTGAGTTTAGCCTAAAGAAGCCACAGTGGGCCAAAGGGCAGTGAAGCACACAGCCCCCTCCAGAGAGGCAGCCGAGCCTCTGGAAAGGGGCGGTCAGCCTGAGAGTTAGCCACAGGGAAACGCGAAGGAGCCAGCGCCCCACGCCCTGCGAGTGAGCAGCAGTCCTGTTTATTATCAGAAAAGCGGGAAGCGAGACGCGACCACACCCTGCACCCTTTTTATGTAAGATCAACGAGGACCATGCCCGAGAAGATGCGTGTCCTGGCAGCACACTGTCCAGGCAGACAGCACAGGCTCCTGTCCTGGTTTCACCAGTGAAAAGCTGTGTGAGCGTCTCGGTTTCCTCCTGAGGCTCTGCAACGGAGCCAATGATAGAATCTTCCTGAGTCTTCCTCCTAAGACAGCTGTGGGCATTAACAGGCCAGAGGCAGGTAAACTGCCTCTCCCAGTACTTATAGTACATGCTCAATAAAATTAGCTATTATTGTTACTTCTAGTATTCCAATCATTTTTGCCTTTTATCATAAATTTCATGGGAGCTTCTTAACAGTTAATGAGAATTGGTTCATTTTTGGCTATCTTGTTTTCTTCTCTTTTAACTCGTTGACTGTCCCTGTATCTAAGCAATGCCAGTTTGGTAGAATTGTACGCCCCTGTCCTCTGTAAAATCATATACAGGACAAAATCAGTTGCCCTTAGATATGTTCACCAAGTTTTGAAATACTAGGATGACGCCTGAACTCAGAAATCTTGGAACAAAAATGAAGAAATACCATTTTGGCCCGGCCGGTGTGGCTCAGCAGTTGAGCATCGACCTGTGATCCTGGAGATAGGGGTTCGATTCCCGGTCAGGGCACATGCCAGGGTTGCCGGCTCGATCCCCAGTGGGGGGCGTGCAGGAGGCAGCCGATCAATGACTCTCATCATTGATGTTTCTGTCTCCCTCTCTCTCCCTCTNATCTTGGAACAAAAATGAAGAAATACCATTTTGGCCCGGCCGGTGTGGCTCAGCAGTTGAGCATCGACCTGTGATCCTGGAGATAGGGGTTCGATTCCCGGTCAGGGCACATGCCAGGGTTGCCGGCTCGATCCCCAGTGGGGGGCGTGCAGGAGGCAGCCGATCAATGACTCTCATCATTGATGTTTCTATCTCCCTCTCTCTCCCTCCCCCTTTCTCTCTCTGAAATCAACAAAGACATAAAAAAAAAATTATATAAAAAAAGGAGTACCATTTTGCATAAAAGATCACAAACGAGAAAGCTCTCTTCTAAAAACATCTATGAAGAGGTTCCTTCCCAAGTGTCCATCAAAAATAAACCATATCTGCAGACCCACAGGGATTTACTCAAATATGGCCTCACTAGCAAAATATTCTGGTCGGGCCTGGCATGCTAATAAAACCCCTAAACTGGAGTTTTGCACCAACAGCATTTTGATGTGCTAAGAGGAAAAATAATCTATTACAATGAAAAGAAAAGATGGTGTGACAGTTGTCTACTAATTTCCTTGGTGTGCACTGGTGTCGGCCCAGTGTAGTGGCTGTGAAGACTTGTGGCCGAAACAACTTTATTCTTCCCTTCCCTTCCCCTCCTTCCAACTCTCCCCAAACCCGTCCCACCCCCACCCCAGCCCCACTCCCACTTCCCCAGGAGGTTCCTTATACCTTTGAGCCTTGAACCCATATCTGTAAAGTTCTTGCTATCCAAGGAATCCCAAGTAGACTGGAGAATACCTAGGGGCACCCCATGGAGGTGACCCAAGGCGTCTGGTCCCCTTTCCTTCCAGGAGGCTCAGCAGATTCCTTGCGGCTTCCTCCCACAGGATGTACTCCCGCAGCTGGTCCTTCAGGCTCCCTCCCTCGTAAGCAAGTGGGGACTCTCCGGAGCTCTTTTTCCCCATTAAGTGCCCTGTAAAACAACAAAAACAGAATGCCACAAATTTAACTCAGAGCAACGAATGAACGAAAAATTTAAAAGGACCCCAATTATGTTCGTGCTGCTTGCTCTTAAATGCAGAATAAGTAACATTTTATTCTTAAGAGTTAGTTTCATAAATGACTGCTTTTGCTTTCTGTTCAAAATGAGAAATGAGCCCACAGAATTCAGACCTGTGATTCTGGAGCCCCAGTTTGGTCCCAGCCTTTTCTGCTAACGAGCTAGGTGACCTCTGCCAAGTCATCTGGCATCCCCATGCTTCAATTTCTCAACTGGGAAATGAACAGGGTGGACTAGATGAAATCTAAGGAACCTTCCGTATCTAAAATTTTATCACCAATTCTGTTGCACTGAGTTCCATTCCCAACTGAATGGTGGAATTGAGGCACCCTCCCCAGCCAATTTGAAATTGCTACTGCAAAGAAAAGTCTCGATGTTTTTCTTTGTGCGATTAAAAAAAAAAGAAAGGTGTTGTTTATCTCTTATCTGTAATACAAATGTACCAAAGGAATTTCTCATTTCAACTTTCTCAGAACTTAGCGGAGATTGAATCTAGGAAGCACCACCTAGAAATTACAGTTTGTAAAGCATGTAATGAAAAACCAGTTGAAAACAAGTTCTGCACGACATTCCCCAGCCACATAAATGCAGAATTTTCTCTCAGATGTCTAATGTGGTCAGCGAACCTCTATCAGAGGCTCCAGGGATGTGTCCGGTCCGTGTAAATTAACAAAAGTTACTGTGCAGAAGGCCAAACCACTAAAACCATAGAAACTCTTGTATGCAAGTGGGGACAGCCATAGAGTCAAAGGAGGTAGGGAATTCAAGGTCTGCATTCTTAACACCTTAGCCCATTGCTTAAATGTCCTCACATTATCTTATATACTTTCTTCATTCAATTTTTCCTCTCTCTCTATAATCAGCTTTTATAGTATTTTCAAATTTCTAATATTAATAAAATTATCGTGCTTTTTAAAATTGATATTTCAGAGAGAGGGAGGGAGAGGGAGAGAGAGCCACCTAGAAATTACAGTTTGTAGAAACATCAATCAGCTGCCTCCTGCACGACGCCCCCTACTGGGGATGGAGCCCCCCAGGCGGGCATGTGCCCTGACCAGGAATGGAACGGTGACCTCCTGGTTCATGGGTCGGTGCTCAACCACTGAGCCATGCAGGCCAGGAAACTATCATGCTTTTTATTTAAAGGCCACAAGATGAGAGCTCTCTGTGGCTCCACCATTGACTGGCACTAGAAGTATTTATGGGAAACATCATGGGAATAATGTTTGACCTCAGTCACACAGAATAGAAAGAGCCCCTTCCCAGAGAAGCCCTCACTATGACTTCATTGCTGGCCTGCGTGATGCAATGTACTGTTTACAGAATGTCTAAATGCGGATCATTTCATTTGATCCACCCTATAAGTCTGATGAAAATGAGGCTTGCCAAAAGTCACATACATGTTAAGAAAAGGTTCTACTATATTATACTGCTTTGAAGTCTTTGAACACCCTAAGACTATAAGGCAGTGAGAAATCATTCTGGGGTCTGGCAATAAGGATAAGGTCCACAAAAGGCTTTCTAATATTATTTTAAAAAATAGGGATCATCCTAGCTGGGTTGGCTCAATGGTTAGAGCAGCGGCCCAAGGACTGAAGGGTCCCAGGTTCGATTCCAGCCACGGGAACCTCAGTTGCAGGCTCGATCCCTGGCCCTGGCTGGGGCGTGTGTGGGAGGCAACCAATCAATGTGTCTCTCTCACATCCATGTTTCTCTCTCTCTCTCCCCCTTCTGCTCTCTCTGAAAAGCAATGGAAAAAATATTCTCTAGTGAAGATTTAAAAAAAAATAGGGATCATACAGCTGTACATCATGACTCTTTCTGTGACTCAGAAAATTAGCTCTGTGAGTATCAGGGAGCCTTAAAATGAGGTTTTACTGCAAACCATGTGAGCACTTGTCAAGTCACTTATGACACTTCCCACAATTTCAAGGCTCCCTCTTAAGGACACTGTCCCACTGAAGGAATCCTGAATGACTGGCTCCTCACTTCTCTGCTTGGTCAACTTGGTGCCTGGATATCCACAAAATAACCCTGCATTTAGCCATAACAGTGCTTATGTTGCACAACTTCCCAGGAAGTAGAGAAGCATTTGACTTTATATACACGGAGAAAATTGAATCATGATGATGGAAAAGCAGGATTAGAATCTGATGCCCCCAGTAATGACCTCGGTCGCCCTTTCCTTCCATCACATCCTGTCATCTTGTAAGCGTGCTGGAAAGGAGCAAGGCGTTATTGCCAATGAAACAGAGGGGCGCCGGAGATGTTTTTACAAACAAGAACTTCATTTTTGTCGTGCCTGAATAATTTTGTGGACTTTTCTAAAAACCATGTGATTGATTTAATATAGATCCTTGTGACATTTTTTTGAATTTTTGATATTTACATATTTGATGGTTGAGTAGTGTTCATATCCCCACCCCCAGATCCACAGACTGGTCATTAAGGAGAGGGAAGCATCTACAACATCCCAGGGAGGCACACATTCCCCGGGTCCTATTTCACAGTGAGCTGGCAACTGTCAACCAAATAATCATCTCTATGGCAACATGGATGCTATGCCCACTTCCACCTCTTCTCCCATCATCTTTTGTTATCTGTTCATATCATAATAATGGAGAGCTCAGCATGGACAAGACAGGCACTTAAAAAAATAAAACCATGCCCAAAGGGAAAAAAGCTTTTGTCCTTTTAAATCACTTAAAAATACCACTAAAATGGCAGATTTGAAATATAAATGAATTTTCTTGAACTCAAAAGTTGAAGATTGCCCGAACTCAGGGAACGACCCATTAAGACAAAGTGCTGAGTACTTCGAGGAGCTAGTTTTTCTGGACAGATACTTAAACTCTATTTCGGTTTCTGGAGCAGCATTACAATGTCAAACCATTCCGTAGCTGAGCACAGGAGTTCAGAATTCAAGGGCAGGCCACACATCGAAGTTAGAGTCACCACCAGTGCTAGCGTTGACCTATATTGTCAACACACACACACACATAAAACATTTCCAAGAGCTTCAAGCGAGATAAGAATTTGTTAAGTTTTCAATTTCATAACTTGTATTCGGTTGCCACACCATGCTCCTCTCAACGAAGAGACGCAATTCACTTAAACCTGCAAATTTGTGCTGACCGCCTCCTTGTGGACAGCAAAATGTAGCTTTAGTTTGATGTAATTATAACTAAACAGTATGTCCTCAGTGATTGAGGCTGACAGGCATTTACTTAGGAGAGTAGAAAGCTAAATTTAAAACCGAACATCATTCCTGCTCGTGAACACTCACATTCCCCCAGAGAGCATGTCTGCCCAAAGGCAACTTTTGCTCAACCACAATGTCATTTTAGACCCAAATGTGAGTTTCTCTTTCTCTTCTCTCTTCCCTTCAGTCTTCCTTAATTCTGCACAGCCAGCCAAGGGAGAAAAAGGAAAGAGTGTGTTTGAGAGCAATAAGGAAATGTAAGGTTGCCACCAGTCCGTATGCCTTTGGGTGAGGAATGCCCAAGCACCACCACAAAGGGTGATTAAATGCCAGAAGCCCTAACGACCTGGGGACAGATGTGCTCTGTAGCTACGGCAATAGGGGTTGGCTTGCACCAGAAATAACATGGTTCTAGCTTCCCAACTAACTTTCTTGTCCTTTTGGCCTGCAATGGTTACCTAATAATAAAGCCTTTTTATTTTATTTTTTAACGATATGTTTTTACTGATTTCAGAGAGAGGAAGAGGGGAAGAGAGAGAGAAACATCAATGATGAGAGAATCACTGATAGGCTGCTTCCTGCATGCCCCCAGCTGGGGATCAAGCCCCAAACCCAGGCATGTGCCCTGACCAGGAATCACACAGCTGTCTCTTGGATCCTAGGTCAGTGCTCAACTGCTGAGCCACGCTGGCTGGGCAAGAAAGCCTTTTTAGTACAAAATATATGGACAAGCAAAAAGAGGTTGGAAATCTGAAAGTTTCATTTCACCTTTCGAACCCACCAGCTGGTGGCTGGACTGCACAATGGTCACTAGCTCTAAGGTCCCAGAAGCACTTTTAAGTATCAATTCTAGGTTTGGCTTTTTTAAAACCTTCTAAGTGCCCTTTCTTGAGGACAATTGTTGTTGTTGTTGTTTTTAATCTTCACCAATCCCAACCTCTCCTCTCCATACCAGACTCCTGGGTTCCCCTGTCCCGGGGGGAATCACAAATGCTTCCATCCCTGAGACTGTCAGACCTGGCCAATGACTCATCGACAGTGAAAACCACTCTATTGCAATCAGGCGCTTTCGATTCTCTGAGAGAAGCATACACAACACAGAGGTGCTGAGGAAGTGACCCATCCAGCCTCACCCCTTTCCTTAAATTTATCCTGTCTTCACACAGAGAATCTGAGATTTGTCTGAAATATGTGAATTAGCAAGTATCTTTCCAACACACCCTGCCCCACTCTAAGTAGATGACTAAGGAAATAGAAGCCAACATACACAAACACCACCACAACCACCATCACCAACACCATCATCACCACCACCACCATCACCATCACCACCACCACCCTTAAATCTCTTTAGCGATGACCAGCCTCTCAGGAAATGTTGGGGTTGCTGTAGTTGGCTTTATGGAGAGATTTCTAAGAAAGCTGGGCGCTTTGCATTTGCCAGAGGCTATGCTTGGCGTGGCCGGAGTCCCGGGGTGTCGTTTGGGTGAGCTTAGGGCTTCAGAGCCGCTCCCTGCCTCCCAGTTACTCACACCCGGCTCTGGCCGCTGGGGGTCCTGGGGCGCGGACGAGCGAACCTCCAAGCTGGGGCCTGAAGAGCAGGGCTTGTTGGCAGAGGAAAAGAGGAAGGAGCTAGGGGAGAGGGTGAGGTCGTAGGTCCAGAGAGGTGGAGAAAAGCAGGGCTCAGGGGACAGAGAGCCCTGGATCCACGTGGAGAGCAGGAGCGATTCCTCGAGCGCCAAGACTGCTGGATGTCAA